TCTTTGAGATGAAGCACACTTACCTCTTGTTCATCATCTGATTCTCCAATGGCCATAAGTGCTTGTTCATCTCCAGCTTCATCTTCTGAATCCTCATCTGTGCTTTCTCCCCATGCAGCAACCATAGCCTTTGTTGATCCTTTGCTCCTCTTGGGTTGAACCTGTTCCTTCTTTCTGTTTCTTCGTTCAACCCTTTCTTTCTTCCATTCAATTTCCCCCTGAGGACAATTCTTGATCATGTGGTCAGTCTTGCCTCATTTTTAGCAGCCCTCGTTGGTCTGGTTTTCAGGGGCCCTTGGTTTGTTGAAGGTTGCACCTCTTGAATAACCCTTTCCTCTCATTAGGTACTTCTTAAAATCCCTTGTGATCATAGCCATTTCATCATCCTCTAAGTCTGCACCTTCAGCTGTTCTGAGAGCCAGGATTCTTTCCTTCTTAGGTGCATCCATCTTCATGGTTTGCCTTCTCAGTTCATAGGCAGTGAGATTTCCAATTAGCTTATCCAACTTGAGAGTAGCATTGTTCTTTGATTCCTGAATAGCTGTGATTTTGCTTTCCCAAGTTATTGGCAAGACCCTTGTCAAGATTTTCTCAACCTTGTCTTCTTCAAGGATAATTCTTCCAAGAGACTTAAGTTCATTTGTTAGTGTTGTGAACCTTGTGTACATCTCTTGTATGGTTTCTCATTCCTTCATGGTGAAATTCTCATATTGAGAATAAAGCAGTGTTCCTCTTGATCTCTTTACTTGAGGAGTTCCTTCATGGTCCACTTGTAGAGTGTCCCAGATCTCCTTAGCAGTAGTACAACTTTGAATTCTGTTGTACTCATCTGGACCTAGTCTAACACAAGCCATTTCTTGACCTTGGCATTCTTTTTCCACTTCTTCAAATCTTCAGCAGTACAGTCAGCTCTAGTCTTTGGCACATCCTCTCCTTCAACATTCTTCTTTGTAGTAGCCAGGGGACCATCAGTAACAATATCCCAAAGTTCATAGTCTTCTCCTATGATGTGGCCTCTCATCCTGTTCTTCCACCAGGAATAGTACTGGCCATTAAAGAGTGGAGGCCTAGCAGTGGACTCATCTTGATCTGTTCTTAAGGTGTTAATCTCTTCAAAGATAACCCGCTCTGATACCAATTGATGTTTTATACTTCAATACCATACAAGAGGGGGGGTGATTTATTTGGTACCCAATTTTTGCTTAACTTGATTATAGAAGGACCTGGTTCTTCTATGTGTTCAAACTGCTACTGTTGCGGAATAATAAATACAGAAAATAACAAACACAGAGATTTTTACGTGGAAAACACCTGGCTCAAAAGGTGAAAAAATCACGACCTACCTTCCAGTAGGATTTTCCCAAACTCTCCACTAAAATCACTGAGCCAAAAATTGCATTTACAAAAACTCTTTTGTAAACCTAGGATTAACTCTAATCTCGTTGTGGCACACAACCTCAATTGTTGCGACAACTTTAAGTTAACTCTAACTCGAAAACTCTAAGTACCTAATACAATTGCTTCTAGATAAGCTGAAAGGTACAATGTAAAATCACCTACTACAATTGAACTAGAATAAAAATAGGCACTTGGAATTGGTTCTTCTATCTGGTTCAAGTAGCTTTAGGTTTGCACGCTTGAATCACACACGAATTGCTTGCAAAATTGCCTCGCTATTTTGCTCTCAATTCACGTTTAACTTCTGCTTGTGTGCATTACCTGTAAAAGAGAACAACACTAACATTTAAGGAATTAGCAATTAGAGATTGACTAGAATACTAATGCTACTTACTCTTCCATGGTGGAAGAGTTCTAGTTGATCTCATACTCTAACTCTATCCTTTTCCTAAACAGTGTTCTCTTTGAGTAAGGAGTCTTTCTCCTTATCCAATATGCAACCTTTTCGATCATGATCAGGAGATATCACTTCTGATAAGTTAGGTTTATCTCCTTCACGTGCATCTCACATGTTTGAGTTGATCATAACTGTGCTTCACAAGATCGACCAGGTCCATGTTTGAGTTCCTTTGTTAGTCTTCAAAACTTCACCTTTACTTGGGCCAACACATTCATTATGTTATGAAGCTTAAACCTATGTGCTTTCTTGTCTGTTGCTTTACTTCGCTTGAATCCATGACTTTTCTGTATTTCAATTAGCATGACTACTTTTGGACTTCAATTAGTATGACTACTTCTATGTAATTGAACCTATATCTTCCTTGTTCCCAATCAACATGACTACTTCTGTATTTAGCTCTGTGTCTTTCATGTCTATTGCTTTAAATCAACATGATTACTTCTGTTGTTATGTCCTATCCAGTATTGTGTAATCTGGTTATTAAGTTTATGTGCTTCCTTTTTTTTGCTTCTAATCAGCATGTCTATCCCCTATTGAGTGTTATGGAATCTGGCTGTCAACCTGCTTTGTCTTAACTGGCATGTTTTCCTTCCTGACCTGTTTTATGTGTTCCTGACTAATGACTTCTATGTTCCCAACCCTTACTACCTTTCTTTGTATAGTTTTTCTGTTTATTATTATTCTACTCCCAGCATGCTATGTGCCCCACCTAGTGATAACTAATGGATTGAGTTGAATCTAGGCAATCTGAAGCTTGTTTGAAATGGTTGTGAGCCTGTTTTGTCCTTGTTTGATTGTTTGAGCACAGAGGACTGCAATGACTCTGTTTACTCCTGTTTCACTTCTACTCTTGCTTCACTTCTAAGTTGTTTTACTTCCAAACTGTTTTTCTTAAAACTATTTATATTTTCAAGCACCATTTTCAACTCCTACTCTTAGAACACCTAGGGTCTTGCCCCTCTGATGTAAACATTGCTTAGGAGTCCACGAGGCTCCTCTGAACTTTGATACACTGGGGTTGGCTTTCCAAACTTGCTCACAAAGGGTTACTTTGAAAGTTTTCTAGTGTGAGCATTGCCCGGGGTCCCTGAGGCCCTTGGGAACTTTGACACACCAGGATCCTATTAGATGCACTATGAGATTATGGCATTTGTGAACTGGTTGAAGGCTTGGTCTGCCAGGTTTATCTTTTGGGCCTATATTCAGGCTCCCTATAGTTGTAGCAATTCCACTTCTGTAATTCATTATTAGTGTTGGTTTGTAATAATAATTTCTTGTAAACAGATATTGGANGAACAGCACTTAAGAAAGTTTAAAACGTAGATCATACCCACTTATCAAAAAATTGTAGATCATATCCCTTTTTCCTTTCTGTCCAAACTTTAAAATCAAGCTCTCAGATATGGAATTACCTTTCTTGTACTTGGTCATATTAAATACTTTTAGCTTTGTGTAGACGCCCCAAAACCTCGTCGGCCTCAACTTGATTCGGGTTTAGACAATAAACTAAATCTTTTCCACAAATCCAGCCATCAGCCTGCACAGGAAGAAACAAAGACCATAAGCCACGTCTACTGATGCCTTAGAATCAGAAACAACTTTTAAGATAGACATCTCAAACAACTGAAAAGACTAACATGGGACTTATTAAGGCAAGCTAAATATAGAATGACAGCCGGAACAACTGAATAGACTATAGGACTTGCTGAGACAAGCTCAATTTCAGTCACTGGTTTGCTTCTTTTTCTTTTCTTTTCTTTTTAAAAAAAAAAAAAAAAAAAAAAAAAAAAAAAAACTGGAAGGCCTTTTTAGCAGCAAAATAGAAGATACATTGCATCTGTAAGTACAGGTTAGACTCTATCTTCAAGATAAACTAAACTACTACACCTCCATATCAAACTCAAGCTTCCTAAAGTGAAGCAGCACAATGATACTTCAATTTAAGACTTTAGACTTTAACTTACAAAATTATTATTAAATGAGCAAGCATCATTAGCTCAACTCCGAGTTACATAGACTCGACCATATGTATCATTGTATTCATTTCGTACCATTTAGAAGCATACGTGGTTGCAGGGGCAAACCCATTACATAAGCAGTGGGTTCATCCTTACCCACTGCTAATCCACTGCTCATGACTCTGACTTTTATATATACGTGAATTCATTAGGATTAGTACATAATGAGAGAATCCAAGCACAAGAGATCTTTGCCTCCTCAAGACTGTAAGAACTCCAAAACCACTTTCCCTGCGTCCTTAATCCGTGCCTATAGGTGGGCATACTCCTTTAATTTTCTTATAACAATAACGGTGGTGTTTAGTCCAACTTGCATGCACCTCGACTAATCTATTATTTGATTCCTACTACCTTCCATCAACAAAGTAGCTTAGGTAGATGGGAAAAAAATAATATGGAGTTGCCCCACATTCCAACCTTGATTCTCGAGGTTATCACCCAACTCTTCGACAACTAGGCCACCCTCTTGGGGGCTAGATGGGCATGGTCATTTCAATGCAATATTTAGAGTACTCATTATAATTACACCATATTCACACTAGTTATCTACCAATTGCAACCCTCCTCGACTCAGAGGTCGGATCCAGAATTTAAGCTTTACGTGTCCAATCGTTAAGCTTCTTAGCATTGAACCCATTGTATATTTAAAGTTATGGGTTCATATCTAATTTTAGTGAATTTTTATACATAAATTTATACTCCGCGTTAAAAGTATTAAGTTCAGATGAACCAAGCACCAATACACTGCTTCGGCCCCGGCCTCTGCCTCTGGCTCGACTAACTGACTTGAAAACAATTACTTCCTCTCTTCTACTTTAGTTGGCAATATTTTCTTATTAGTCCTTTTCAAAAAGATCTAACACTTGTCTATTTTAGAAACCATTAATTTCTAACTTTTCATTTTATCCTTAACGAGAAATTTTTATACCCGCACTAATATTATGGCATATTTAGGACCACACATTTCAAAGATCATGGTTTCTTTTTAAATTTCGTGTTGAGTCGAACTATACTAAACAAAATGGAACACAGGGAGTATACAGCAACTAAAAGCTTGCATGAATCAAACTACACTACGTAAAAATGACACTCAAATGAAAGTAAATGATATAAAAAATACATACTCGAAGGAGGTCGTTAGCGTATTGAGAAACCCCATCAGAGACCAAAACAACCATATCTTTAGTGGACCCACTTTCCCTTATTGACTTTCCAAGCACTCTAACACCCAACAAGAACTCATCTCCGTACAGAAGAGTAACGTAAGCTTCCTCAGTTGATTGAGATTTGGAAGCTCCGATGACCCAATAATTACATGACAAAAACATTATTAAGGAGATAATCCATAATCTTAACAAAATTGCTTTCATCGTAATCTTTCTCGAGAAAATGGGAAAAATAAAAAAAATATCTCGAGAATAAGATATACCAGCAGAATTCAGTAAAAGAAACTTGAATTTCAGAAAGGAAGGGAAAAGGGATCTGGGGAGAAACGTGGGGTTACTGGAAATGGTATTAGAATAGTGAAATGAGATTATTTAAATTAAGAATTGGGGATTATTATTCAGTATATTCGCTGTTCTTGTGACTTTCCTCCTTGTATTCGTTGTCATCTCCTAGGCTGTCTTTCCGGAAACTGAGAATTTTCAAAACCTCTCACGTTGATGTTATGTGGAGTTAAAAATTTATAAAATCGGGTCATTTAGGTAACTAAAATCTCTAAATAAGTATTAAGGGATATGTTTGTTTGAGTGCCTGTATGAATTAGTAAAGAACACGAATATGTTAGTTTGAGTGCCTCTATGAATTAGTAAAGAATCTGGTTCGTTACGTAGAAAATCACCCGGCTCAAAAGTGTAAAAAGCACGACCTACCATGTAGGATTTAACTCCAACTCTACTAGAACAATGAGCCAAAAATGTATCAATCACAATACTGTAATTAAATACTCTCCAGTACTCCTGCTACACCTATTTGATTCACAAGTTACTCTAACTTGTAAAGCAAAATACTCACTCCAACTCAACTAATTGTTAATGACAATTGATTACAACTCAATTTTCTAAAACACATTCACTAGACTGACTCAAGAAGAATACAAGGCAAATACTCAACACAAGTAAACGACTTATGGCTCTTTAGTTGATGTGTAAAAGGATGGTTTAGAAGTCCAAAGTCAATCCTATTTAAAACACAACTTGAGATCTTCTAGGAGTCTCATTCATAGTCAGGTTCTTCTTTGATAGGACTTCTACTGTTCTAAGGATTCCACTAGCTTTGGGACTTTTGTCTCTGACTAAATTATCTGTATCTTCTTGAGCAATGACCCTTATCACTTATAGCAACCTTCTTCCACCAAACTCGGACTTGGGTAACTATGAGATAAAGTTATTGTCTTGTACAGACGTACAAGTATCGATCATGAAGAGCTGATCCTTTATCCTGAGGAGTTGGCTCTTCACAACAGCTAAACAGTTATGTTGAGGACCTGGTTCGTTGAGCATTTAGTCACACTTTGTTAATCATCAAAACTTCAATACTCAACATGATATTCTCAAATTTACTTCAATATCTTCTAGTCACACTTTGGATCAGAGATGATATTCTCAAGAGGATGTGAGCTTTGATGCTTCCATGATCTGATCTGTATACCCAGAGAAGATTCACCCGAGGAGTGACCCAAAGGAGCAGGTTCAGTAGGTGTGACTTCATTATTCTGGTCAGTAGTTAGAGTAATTCTTTCCTCTCCTTGTTCCTAATGATCACTGTCAATTTCCTTGTGTTTTTCAGATCCATCTTCATCAGATTCCTTTGTATCTCCATCGCCAGTGAATCCTATGTCATAAACTTTATCCTGCAGACCTTTCTCAACTAAATTGTTAGATTAATCAAAAATAACATGAATATGTTATTCCACACACATAGTTCTTTTATTAAAAATCGTATAGGCCTTACTATGTGGAGAGTAACCCAAGAATTCCCTCATTCCTTCTGTCATCAAACTTACCTAGAGCTTCTTTCCCATTATTATGCACAAAACATTTGCACCCAAAGGCTCTCAGGAGAGTGATGGTGGGTTTTCTTCCTCGAAGTAACTCATAGGGAGTTTTCTCAAGAATGGGTCTGACCATGCATCTATTTAGCAGGTAGCAAGCAGTATTGATTGCCTCACCCCAGAAACTCTTAGGCAGTCCACTAGCAATCAACATGGTCCTCCCCATGTATTCTAAGGATCTATCCTTTCTTTCTACAACCCCATTTTGTTGTGGCGTTCTGGGAGCAGAGAAATTATGATCAATACCATGTGAACCACAGAACTCAAGGAATTTTGAATTTTCAAATTTAGTTCCATGGTTAGTTCTTATACATAAAACATTGCACCCTAGTTTTTGTTGAATCATTCTGACAAATACACAGAAAACATCAAAGATTTCATCTTTGGATCCCAAAAACAAAGTCCGGGTATACCTGCAGAAGTCATCAACAATCACAAACACATAACTATTACATCCTTTGCTCCTTATTCTCATTGGTCCAAATAGGTCCATGTGAAGGAGTTCCAGAGGTTGAGAGGTACTTAGAAATTTTTTAGACTTAAAGGATGACCTAACATGTTTCACTCTAATACATGCATCACATGCCTTGTTAGAGGTGAACTCAACTTTAGGTAGCCCAAGGACCAAGTATTTTGCTGCCAACTTGTTGAGTTGACTGGCATGCCCCAGTCTTCTATGCCATAGCAGTGGATCATCTTCCACTGCACTCAAGCATGCGTGATCACTCTGGGGAAGTGACATAATCGACATCTTATAGACATTGTTATGTCTCTTACCCTTTAACACAATTTCATCAGTATCAAGCTTAGTGACAATGCAAATTTTGAAATTGAATTTTACCTCATTTTCCTTTGTCACACATTTGAGAGATGCTAAGAAGATTATGTTTAAGACCTACCACAAAATACACACCTTCTATAGCATGAGAAAGTGACTTGCCAACCTTACCAATACATGTTATCTGGCCTTTTTCCATTTCCAAATGACACACTCCCTCCTTGGAAGGCTATCAGTGAGAGAAAATTTTGTTGGGTTTTTAAGCATTAATATGGCTTAAAAGAGAGTGATGGGAAATGGAGGGAAATGAAATTTTTAAGTGAAATTTTAAGTTACCCCCCCCCCCCCCGACAAAGGGACATTGTCCCATATTAGAAGAGGAAGAGGTTTTTAATTGGTCTATAAGCAATTGCTCTTCTTCTAGCTCTTAAAGAGTTGATAAGAAGGCAAGCCTCGCGCCGTCGTAGTCGTCACTCGCTCGGCTTCGGCTTCGAATTCGGATTCTGATTTGGTCAAATGATCGATTGATTGATTAGTTTTTGGACCAAATTTATTTGTTAATAGTAAATATTAACATAAATGTTATTAAATATCCGATTAAATAATAGACTATTAATATTAATATTAAATCCAATGGAATGTTAAACGTTTTTCCGTTTTTTGTTTTTCAATTGTGTAACTGAAAATTAACCTCCCTCTTGAAATCCCGGTTTATTGTTGTGTAAATAGCCATTTATGTTATGGTATTTATGCTATGGCCATTCTCTCAGATTCTCCATACGATTTTTTGAGTTCTCTTCCTTTCTTCTGCATACTTTTAACTTCAAAGAAAGCAACAGTAAGTGTGTTTTGCTGCCGAACTTTGTGTTCGCTTAAACACTGGGGTTTGAAGTACCTCTACACCAGTGTGTAATTCGTTCTATCCTGGGAGGAAATAATCTATAACCTGTACTAGGAGGGGATTAAATTCCTTAAGGAAACACTGTGAATTCAGTGGGCTCGGATTAACTTTTGTTTGGTTTACATTTTCTGTTTATATATTATTCTATCATTTCCAGAATTAGTTTACAAATACAGTTTACTCACAAGCTTAAGGAATTTAATATTTTCTATATTTGTGTTATATTCACTGTTCTGGAGATTAAAACCTTTGTGGTTTTCTACTCCGTTGGAAATTAAAATCTACGTGATTTTAACGATTGTTTGTGTCATTCTTTTACAGAAATGACTAATGACAACGGAAACCAAGCTGTTCTGATGGTGACTGCCAATGCGTCGACAAACCGTACATCGGCATTGGCACCGGCGAAAAAACCCGAAAAAAATTTTGGGATTGATTTCAAGTGGTGGAAGCAGAAGATGCTCTTCTACCTGACTACTTTAAGTATGCAGAAGTTCATTAAGGAAGATGTTTCTGTTTTGCCCGATGAAACTCCAGAGAATGAACGCTTTCTTGTGATTGAGGCGTGGAAGCATTCTGATTTTCTGTGCAAGAATTATGTTCTTAGCGGGCTGGAGCACGATCTGTATAATGTCTACAGTGGCATGGAGACGTCAAAAGAATTGTGGACTGCGCTTGAAAAGAAATACAAAACTGAAGATGCGGGGTTGAAGAAATTCGTTGCCGCTAAGTTTTTGGACTACAAAATGGTAGATAGCAAGTCTGTTATTACCCAAGTCCAGGAATTGCAAATAATTATTCAGATCTCCTTGCTGAAGGTATAAATCGAATTAATACTGATGTTGAAAGTAGTAATTTTAGTATTTTACTAACAGAATTTTCATTGAACGTCTTGTCATCAATGAAGCATTCCAAGTAGCAGCAATAATTGAGAAGTTGCCTCCTTTGTGGAAGGACTTCAAAAACTACTTGAAACACAAACGCAAGGAGATGTCACTTGAAGATCTCATTGTTCGGTTGAGAATCGAAGAGGACAACAAAGCTGTTGAAAAGAGAGGCCGTGGAAACTCAATAATAATGGGAGCAAACATGGTTGAAAAGCATGAAGATGTTGATGACTTGTATGCTATGCTTTCTGAATGCAACCTGGTGGGAAATCCTAAGGAGTGGTGGATTGATTCTGGAGCCACTCGCCATGTTTGTGCTGTTAGGGAAGCTTTTGCTACATATGCTCCTGTTGGACCCGAAGAGACGCTTTCTATGGGAAATGCTGCAACGGCCAAGATTGAAGGATGTGGGAAGATCTTTCTGAAGATGACTTCTGGCAAGGTGGTGACTTTGAACAACGTCCTTCATGTTCTCGAGATTAGGAAGAATTCAGTCTCTGATGGACTTCTTGTTAAGAATGGTTTTAAGTGTGTTTATGTATCCGATAAGGTTGTAATAAGTAAGAATGAAATGTTTGTAGGAAAAGGTTACCTCACTGAGGGCCTTTTCAAGCTGAATGTAATGGTTGTTGAGAATAATAATAAAATTTTAGCTTCGTCTTACCTACTTGAGTCAAATGAACTATGGCATATACGTTTGGGTCATGTTAATTACAAAACCTTGCGGAAAATGATTAACTTGGAAGTATTGCCTAAGTTGGAATGCGACAAATCAAAATATCAAATATGTGTGGAATCTAAGTATGTTAAACATCCTTATAAGTCAGCTGAAAGGAATTCAAATCCTTTAGACTTACTTCACACAGATATTTGCGACATGAAGTCAATACCATCTCGCGGTGGAAAGAAGTATTTCATAACCTTTTTTGGACGATAGTACTCGATATTACTATGTTTACTTACTTAATAGTAAAGATGAAGCAATAGACGCATTCAAGCAATACAAAAATAAAGTTGAAACGCAACTTAATAAGAAAATCAAAATGATAAAAAGTGATTGGGGTGGTGAATATGAATCTCCTTTTGAACAAATATGTTTAGAATATGGAATTA